TGTCACCCGTGTGCCCATTGTGTGTCCTGTGCCCCGTGTCATCCGATGTCCCTGCTGCTCAGCGGCATCGTGGACCCCGCCGTCATGGGGGGATATAGCAACTATGAGAAGGTGCTGTCCCCAGTGTCACCTGTGTGCCCTGTGTCACCTGTGTGCCCTGTGTGTGTCATCTGTGTCACCTGTGTGTCACCTGTGTGTCCTATGTACCCTGTGTGTCCTGTGTCACCTGTGTGTCACCCGTGTAACCTGTGCCCCTGTGCACCCGCTGTCCCTGCTGCTCAGCGGCATCGTGGACCCCGCCGTCATGGGGGGATACACTAACTATGAGAAGGTGCTGGTCTGTCCCCAGTGTCACCTGTGTGTCACCTGTGTGTCCCCAGTGTCACCCATGTCACCCGTGTAACCTGTGCCCCCGTGCACCCGCTGTCCCTGCTGCTCAGCGGCATCGTGGACCCCGCTGTCATGGGGGGATATAGCAACTATGAGAAGGTGCTGTCCCCAGTGTCACCTGTGTCACCTGTGTCACCTGTGTCACCTGTGTGTCACCTGTGTGTGTCACCCATGTGCCCTGTGCCCCCATGCACCCGCTGTCCCTGCTGCTCAGCGGCATCGTGGACCCCGCCGTCATGGGGGGATACACTAACTATGAGAAGGTGCTGTCCCCAGTGTCACCTGTGTGTCACCTGTGTGTCACCCATGTGTGCCCTGTGTCACCCATGTCACCTGTGTCATCCGCTGTCCCTGCTGCTCAGCGGCATCGTGGACCCCGCCGTCATGGGGGGATATAGCAACTATGAGAAGGTGCTGTCCCCATGTCACCTGTGTGTCACCTGTGTGTCACCCATGTGTGCCCTGTGTCACCCATGTCACCTGTGTCATCCGCTGTCCCTGCTGCTCAGTGGCATCGTGGACCCCGCTGTCATGGGGGGATATAGCAACTATGAGAAGGTGCTGGCCTGTCACCTGTGTGTCACCTCTGTGTCACCTGTGTGTCACCTGCTGTCCCTGCTGCTCAGTGGCATCGTGCACCCCGCCATCATGGGGGGCTATGCCAACTACGAGAAGGTGCTGGCCCTGTCACCTGTGTCACCTCTGTGTCACCTGTGTGTCACCTGTGTGTGCCCTGTGTGTCCTATGTACCCTGTGTCACCCACTGTCCCTGCTGCTCAGCGGCATCGTGGATCCGGCTGTCATGGGGGGATATAGCAACTATGAGAAGGTGCTGGCCTGTCCCCATGTCACCTGTGTCACCTGTGTCACCCGTGTCACCCATGTCACCCATGTCACCTCTGTGCCCTGTGACCCCTGTGCCACCCTCACATTCT